TCATGCTGACCCCTATTCATATCATTCGCATGGCACCTATCTCACTAGAATTTACCAAAGAACAGAAAACATCATTTTTTCGGGGTTGCGCTTCATCTCGCCTCAATGAAGCACAACCAAGTGCTTGGGAGCACAACCAAAGTCATTTATCGCACAAAAATAAGCTTGGTTGCGCCCCCAAACGCTGGGTTGCGCTTCATCTCCCCTCGATGAAGCACAACCTTGGAAAATGATATTTTTTTATCTTCTTTGGTAAATTTATGTCTTCCAGACCATAGATTATTTTGCCTGTCGAAAAACTTGAAAGAAAGCGTGAAAAAACAAAAAATGTAACTCTTGTTTCATTTTTCCCTTTGAGCCTCTCCGTGTTTTTCCTTTCTTTTTTCTCCTTTTATTCTGCTTTTGTGTTTTTTAGATTTTGCTGCTTTGCTTTTTCGCTTTTCCGACGTTGATACTTTTTTCGCTTTTTTCGCGTTTTTCGCGAAGTTAGAATATGCTACGGTCTGGATGACATAAATTTACCAAAGAAGATAAAAAAATATCATTTTCCAAGGTTGTGCTTCATCGAGGCGAGATGAAGCGCAACCCAGCGTTTGGGGGCGCAACCAAGCTCATGTTTGTGCGATAAATGACTTTGGTTGTGCTCCCAAGCACTTGGTTGTGCTTCATCGAGGCGAGATGAAGCGCAACCCCGAAAAAATGATGTTTTCTGTTCTTTGGTAAATTCTAGTGAGATAGGTGCCATACGAATGATAGTAGTAGTAGTCGTAGTCGTCGTAGTCGTCGTCGTAGTAGTAGTAGTAGTCGTAGTAGTAGTAGTAGTACTACGGCCAGGACGGATGTGCTGCCCGGGAAAGTGCGTTTTGACTGCGCAGGGCCAATGTTTTGTGAGATTCCCCGTGTCGTTCGTTTGGGCAAACGGATGACGAATTTTTCCCTCATTTCATCAACATCATCATCATCATCATCATCAGCATCATCAGCAACAACATCAACATCATCAACATCATCAACATCCCAATTGACTGTAAAGTTTAACGGGGGTGGGAGTTTACTATTCCCTAATACCCTTGTTGATCTTCCCAATTGAATGCAAAGTTTAAGGGGGATGGGAGTTTAATATTCCCTAATACCCTTGTTGATCTTCCCAATTCAATGTAAAGTTTAACGGGGGTGGGAGTTTAATATTCCCTAATACCCTTGTTGATCTTCCCAACTGAATGTAAAGTTTAACGGGGGTGGGAGTTTAATATACCCTAATAATCTTCCCAATTGAATGCAAAGTTTAACGGGTCTGGGAGTTTAATATTCCCTAATACGCTCGTTGATCTTCCCAATTCAATGTAAAGTTTAACCGGGGTGGGAGTTTAATATTCCCTAATACCCTTGTTAGTGGGAGAACCTCCACAGAGTCAACCCCTAACTTGGTTGACCCTCTGGAGGCCCCTCCACCGGGTCCACGTATTCGGAGTTCGGAACGTACTTGTACAGAACAAAAAGCGATACTTTATGTATACTTAGTAGAAATCACAAGGTCAACAACTAACCAAAAACATTAGTTTCTGTGGACCCGGTTGGACTTTATGTAAACTTGCTAGAAATCACAAAGTCAACAACTAACCAAAAACAATAGTTTCTGTGGACCCGGAGGGAGAGCCTCCACAGAGTCAACCCCTCACTTGGTTGACCCTTTGGAGGCCCCTCCACCGGGCCCACCTATTCGGAGTTCGGAACGTAATTGTACAGAACAAAAAACGATATTTTATGTATACTTAGTAGAAATCACAAAGTCAACAACTAACCAAAAACATTAGTTTCTGTGCACCCGGTTGGACTTTATGTAAACTTGCTAGAAATCACAAAATCAACAACTAACCAAAAACAATAGTTTCTGTGGACCCGGTGGGAGAGCCTCCACAGAGTCAACCCCTCACTTGGTTGACCCTTTGGAGGCCCCTCCACCGGGTCCACGTATTCGGAGTTCGGAACGTCAGTGTACAGAACAAAAAACGATACTTTATGTAGACGTGGCGGAAGCGCCTCCACAGCGTCAACAACTAGCTCAGTCGACTCCCTGGAGGCCCGTCCAACGAGTCCGCGTGCTGACAACACGGTATACCTACAAGAATAACGATTCGCCAACAACAAGCACACAAACATTCCAGCTGCTTGGGTGAGCTTTTCAAACTCCAAAAGTTTCTTCCCAACCGATTCTTGTCCAAAATGCCTACCTTATACATCTAACGTTAGAAATCGGCAAACTCTTCAACGCAATTTCCACGAAGTCATGAATCCGCTTGTTGATCTTCCCAATTGAATGTAAAGTTAAACCGGGGTGGGAGTTTAATATTCCCTAATACCCTTGTTGATCTTCCCAATTTAATGCAAAGTTTAACGGGTCTGGGAGTTTAATATTCCCTAATACCCTTGTTGATCTTCCCAATTCAATGTAAAGTTTAAGGGGGGTGGGAGTTTAATATTCCCTAATACCCTTGTTGATCTTCCCAATTGAATGTAAAGTTTAAGGGGCTTGGGCGTAGTAGTAGTAGTAGTAGTAGTAGTAGTAGTAGTAGTAGTAATAGTAGTAGTAGTAGTAGTAGTAGTGGTGGTAGTAGTAGTGGTAGTGGTAGTGGTAGTGGTAGTAGTAGTAGTAGTAGGAGTAGTAGTAGTAGGAGTAGGAGAAGGAGTAGGAGTAGTAGTAGTAGTAGTAGCAGTCGTAGTAGTAGAAGTAATAGTAATAGTAATAGTAGTAGCAGTAGCAGCAGCAGCAGCAGTAGTAGTAGTAGTAGTCCTCATAGTAGTAGTAGTAGTAGTCCTCATAGTAGTAGTAGTAGTAGTAGTAGTAGTAGTAGTCCTCATAGTAGTAGTAGTAGTAGTAGTCGTCGTCGTCGTCGTCGTCGTCATAGTCATAGTAGTAGTAGTAGTCGTAGTAGTAGAAGTAGTCGTCGTCGTCGTCGTAGTAGTCGTCGTCGTAGTAGTAGTAGTAGTAGTCCTCATAGTAGTAGTAGTAGTAGTAGTAGTAGTAGTAGTCCTCATAGTAGTAGTAGTAGTAGTAGTAGTCCTCATAGTAGTAGTAGTAGTCCTCATAGTAGTAGTAGTAGTCCTCATAGTAGTAGTAGTAGTAGTCCTCATAGTAGTAGTAGTAGTAGTAGTAGTCCTCATAGTAGTAGTAGTAGTCCTCATAGTAGTAGTAGTAGTAGGAGTAGGAGTAGGAGTAGTAGTAGTAGTAGTAGCAGTCGTCATAGTAGTAGTAGTAGAAGTAGTCGTCGTCGTCGTAGTAGTAGTCGTCGTCGTAGTAGTAGTAGTCCTCATAGTAGTAGTAGTAGTAGTAGTAGTAGTCCTCATAGTAGTAGTAGTAGTCCTCATAGTAGTAGTAGTAGTAGTAGTAGTAGTAGTCCTCATAGTAGTAGTAGTAGTAGTAGTAGTCCTCATAGTAGTAGTAGTCCTCATAGTAGTAGTAGTAGTCCTCATAGTAGTAGTAGTAGTAGGTAGTAGTAGTAGTAGGAGTAGGAGTAGGAGTAGTAGTAGTAGTAGTAGTAGCAGTCGTCATAGTAGTAGTAGTCGTAGTAGTATAGTAGTAGTCGTCGTCGTCGTCGTCGGCGTGCTTGCGTTACAAACAGTCGCACCTTCTTTTGCCTCTCCCTCCTGTCTTTTCCCCCCCTACCTTTCGTCCCCCCCCCTCTCAAGTTGGTTGGAGATCAGCATGACCTACAACCGGGGTCATGCCATGCCATGCCATCCTCATGATATCCTGGGCAAAAGCGGGCTTAATAGACCTTAGTTAAATGTAGTACTACCGACCAGGTGACCAGCTGACAGAATCATCTCATTGCAAGGGGGCAAGCATTGCGACCTCAGCCCAGCTGCCGCGAGGTGACTTTGATCACTGGGCCATACAGCTGTTTGGCACCACCACTGTTCTATGCTATTTTCGGTACTTGCGTGCAGGCTGGGGTGCACACGTGACATGAGAGTTCAACTACATATCGGTACTATGATCATCTATGAATCTACTACTAGATACTACTAGTACGTATGCTACAATGCCTTGGGTCGCTCACTTCCTTTGCCATTCTTTCCACTGCAATGGCAATAATTGATGCTGAGGCCTCCGTTGGCACTGGCGGGTTGGTTTCGCTGCTCACAGGCGAGCAACTGGCTGGCTTTGGCAATCTGGAGCAGCGCACCCATGCAGGCACCAGTGGATAGTTGTGGCATGTTGTGGCCACCTTACTTTGTTTATCTTTGTTTTACCCAGCTCATACCAATTGAATGCAGTTGTAATCACAATTTATGGGTGTTGATGGATCATCGCGGATTTGTTCCTTTGGTGATTGATGCTTTCCAAAACTTAGCAGAGCCCGCTACTGTTTGCGTCGGTCGAGCCCACCTCCAACAATCCCCAGCTGCCCAGCTTCTAGCTGGCCTAGCTGGCTGCCTAGGTGCCATTTTCACATTGGAAGTTGGGCTGATCATTGGCGCTGCACTCAGAAGATTTGAGCCATCTCACGACTGCTTGTGCTGATGTTTTGTGCCAAGATTGGTATACGCTATACGCACACGTGTACTCACAGAACTAGCAAGAACTGAGCAAGGATTGATTGAGTTTTCACTGCCCAGCCTTGATTCACAGCGGACTGATGCTATCAGCTGCTATCCTACTTGCTACCTGTGACTTCTGAGCGTTTGGGTAGCCCCACTTATGGCTTCTAGCTCATTTCAGTGAACGACCAACATCGACCAACTAAAGGGTTCGCCTGTTGGTGGTAATTCTGATCCGGGATCTGTATGCTGAAGGATTGCTTCTCAATCATGGTGCTCCTCCTCCTTTTGTAACCAGGGGGTGCTTCCAGCATTTTATCTTATTTTTTGAGCTCTTTGAATACACAATGGGGGTGGGTCCAAGAGGTCTTCATTCTTCAAAAGTCATTTGAATTTGGATGCAGTTATTTCCCTAGTTCTTGACTTTCCGAGTCAGCGCTGGCATGATTTGAGGTGCCATGGGTGTCTTTCGCTTGGCATTCTTAGTGCGCTTCTTGTCAAAGCCTGCGCTTGAGCTGCAGATTGGGTGGCATTCTTGTTGATACGAAGATACATTGTGAAGTCAGCTTCCGAGTGAGTTCACCCAAATTGAATTAAGTTATATAAATCAAGGGACGAAAGCTGTGAACTGTAAACCATTGTGAAACTTCTCAAAGGCGCTGAGTGGGTTCATCACTGCAAGCGCCATCCTCATCATGCTCTCACAAGTGAAACCAGCGATTGGCCTCCCGAGACTTGGTGCCACAGGTTGCAACATGGGCAGTGTTGTACTGTAGCATTTGTAACAGGGCATTGTAGAAGGGGTGGAGATTTCCTGGGTCTGTGGTGGTTTTACATGGGATAATATAACCCCGGGCATTTCATTTTAGCTTGGCTTACACCTTCACATTTTAACACTGCCAATGCATTGCCGGCCCAGAAAACGATAGGAGATGATAAAAGTAAAAAAACGATAATGAGCTTATACATGTACATGTTCATGAAGCCTGAAGATGGCAACCTGCACAGGCCTCCAAAACGATAGCTAAACGATACCCACCTGACCGGTTTGAGCATATCAGCTTTCGCAGACCTGTATCCTTGATACATAGACGGAACATGAAAGGACATGAAAGCAAAATGGAAGGAAATGAATGCAAAATGAAAAGCGATGAAAGGAAATGTAAACAAAAGATGACTCTCGACCAAGGATGCTTTCACCCACAGAAAGCTGGAAAAATCACACTTCTTGTCTACAGGGAGCTCACCACCTGAGAAATTGATAAGAGTAAAAAAAAACGATAACGTGATTTTGGGTCATTTAAAATTTAAAAAGATGCCGGCTTTTTTTATAATTAACCCCCACATGGCTCTACTGGGTATGTGTACATTCGCGAAGGTTGGAGGAGGTGGCTGGCGGATGCTACTTCTTGAATTGTGGGCGTAACATGTGACACACTGTGACAGGCGGAAACAAACAGCATCAAACGGCTCATTCAGAGTTTGATTGCAGTAGGCCCGGCCATGACTCGTCAAATCTGTGCTGAATCAACAAGAGCACACCAGATGTGAACTTGTTGATTCAGTTGCTTTCCGGATCAAATCGTGACATCACCCGCCCACATCTCCAAGAAGGAAGACAGACATGCTTCATTCAGTGCTTCATTCAGTGCTTCATGGTACTTCAGTTCTGGGTGCTCCTTGAGGAGGACAGACATCGGGGGTATCATGACTATCTTTTTCCTGCATCCCACGGAGCTGCGCGACATAAATCCTGCGACGGTCATACTCAGTTTGGGTGGCTCGGCACGGTAATAATGGTATCCAGTGTCCAGATTGTCATGTATGTAGCTGTATGATGCTGTATGATGCTGTATGTAGCTGTAGCATGCCCACAATGTTTTTCATTGGGTCAAGCGGCTGGTAAATTGACGAATATTAATGAACATTAACGAACTGAAAAGGCATAAGCGCCACGTATTTTGATTCCTGTTGAGGAAGACGGAATCATGGTAAATGCCAAGGCAGCCAACCTTGGCCAACCAGCTTTCAAAGAACGACACTTGCCGTTTCTTCAGGTTGCCTTGCATTCTTGCACGTGGCAAAGAGATTCAAGTCATCGCGTCCCTCTCTCATCGGTTCAGGCTATGGTTCGCTTTAGTTTGTTGATTGGGGCATTAGTTTAGTGTGCTTTGTGCTTTGTGTTTTTGTACTGCCTTTGCCGCCCCATTTTTTTTGTGCAGCTGATCAGTCTTCCAGAACACCCAAGGTAGTCGAGTGGTCAAACAAATGTCCGAGTTTAAGGAGGTCCTTCTGCTGGTCATAGCTGCACTGATCGCTTGGAGGCAGCCAGTGGTCCCTGATGATCCACTGTTGAAATTCACCGGTCATGACCCGTCCAACATCTCATGGAATTGGAAGCAACTGGTCACTGCCCGTACCCTTTTTACATCCTCTAGCTTTTGCATGTGATTGACATGTTGGCTACCCGTATTTGACAGGCTATTGGTGGGTTAAGATTCAGTCCAGTCACTAGTCAGCCAAAAGTATCAATACCATATAAAATATATAAACCAGCAGTCAGAGGTGAGACAAATCAGAGAGCCTGTGTAATTCAAGCCGCAATCATGACATATCATGACATGGCCGATCCCCAGGATGTCAGATCATAAAGGATCATAAAGGCAAGAATAAGATAGAACAAGATAGAACAAGATAGAATAAAAGATAGAATAGAAGATATATAGAATGGGAACCAATGTGCACAGTGATTGAGCTGTGGCCTGCATTATATGCCAAGCCCTGTGGTCTCGAAGGCTTTCTGGGCCTTTGGGCATAGCAGTGATTGGGGACGTACCTCGCGGATTTCCGAGTCTTGCTTGGCCAATTCAATCTGGCTCCTTTGCAGCACGGGCTGACTTTCCCGGAATGATCCTATAGTAAAATATAGTAAGTAGAAACTAAGTAGTAAGCCTGGCCTAATTTCCTCCTATTGGTTTGACGTTTGATTGGAATTTGATGGCATTTGTGGGTTTTTAGATGTCACCAATTGCCTGCCTGATGCGCTAGCAGCATTTTGCACACTTGCAGGCGAAGATTGGGTGTTGGCTCAGCAACTCGTCCCAGGAGTGGACCACCTTTTGAGACAAGTGGTTTGTGTCAGTTCGACCTTCGAGATCGAATCCCATACATTGCGAGGATGTAACAGAAACAATAGAAGTCCCTGCTACGCTGGAAGCGATGCTCTTTGGAACAGTCTGGAATGGTCAGGCGCCGTGATGGTCGCTTTGGTGACTTTCTTGTCTTCCTTCGCAGCGGCAAGGAAATTTGCACTGAAGGCGCGGGAGAAACTGCATCACGGTGCAAGCCTGGAATCACGTCACGCCCCATCCTTCGCTGTACTCGAATCGGACAGTATGACACGAATCCCAGAGCACCATCACTGGGATTCTCGTCAACTAGCCCAAGTGACAGGTAATATTATGTAATATTATGTATATTAGATTTTGTATAATTTTATATATTATCTTATTGTAGTTCATATTGGTTCAAAACAAAAAATTGATGACCTGATTTGCTGAGCATTTTTTGTGGCACAGGCAGGTTACCAAGTGGTTGCCACCAACGAGCTCCTGGGCCTGGGCGCTGCCAACCTGGCGGGCGCCTTTTGCGGAGCAGTGCCAACACAGATCGGTCTCAGCCGAATGGGTGCCTTGGAGTTCACCAGATTTCACCGAGAAAAAGTGGGGGATTTCATGGGAATCAAACAAGATTTAACCGTTTAACCAACCAAAATGCTGGTATAATATGGTATAATATGGTATAATTGGATATAATTGGGATTTCTCATGGGATATTGATGGATTTTGGATCTTTGGACAGTTTTCGATGACGCTGAGTTGAAATGATGAGAAACTGAGAAACTGAATAGCCTCAGCCATGTGTTTCTAAGACGTCTAACATGTGAAGTTCAATGAATCTGTCAAACAAATGGTATGTGTTTCAGATGTTTGGAGTCTTTAAGACATTTTTAGACTTCATATTGTACATTAGTGTACAAGGGGCCCTGTCCAGGCAACGTGCAGAACTTGCACAATTAATGCCCTTATCTTGCGTTGACCCCTCCGGGCAATAATATGTCTTTCAGTGCCAGCTTGTGATGCTTGGTTCCGTTGTTGCTCTGTGGACCTACGCCTTTAAACACCACTTTTGATGTCTATGGTGGTATGGTGTTTCGCACTTGCTGGTTAGGATTGATCAATAGTTGATGAAGCATGACTCATTACGTGCCAAGGCATTGCTTCTTCGATGGGTGTTAAGAATCTACTTGGATCCTTGCCTGAATCAGAAGGTCAAAAATGATATGAATCCAAGCATGGCCCACAAAATTGGTGAGAGAGAGCGCACAGGGCACCTGCAAGTTTCGGGCTGCCACATTTGCACTTGTTGCTTGTGTTGAAGATGTCCACGCTCATGAGTCTCCATGAGTTAGGATCAGGCAAGCAGTTTTGTCAACTTTGCCAGCGTTGATTACGTAAAAGTACATAATTATCCAAGAAGCAATGTTTACCCAAGTTTACCGCGCATCATGCCAGAAAGATACCTACCCCCCTTCTTTCGAGATATCAAGGTACCAATGTGTTTGTGGCTGGAATGGTGGCCATCGTTTTGCTGGCACTAAGCCCATACATTTACTATGTTCCAAGGCAGGGTTCTAGGTTCTTCAAGCCTTCGCATGATGTCCCGTTATCCTATTGTCCTAGCATGTCCTAGCATGTCAGTTACATGCCGAAGTGCATCCACCTGGGTTCCTTTTTTTTGGGCAGGTGTGCTCTGAATGTGATTATTATTGTTGGTGCCTCGAGTCTAACTGAAGCTTGTGCAGCAAAAACACAGCGTTGATCGTGTTGAATGCGACTCAGGCGGGTAGCAAATGGTAGCAATAGAGTTCGCCCGTTCTAAATTGCAAAAGGTGGCACCCAGCAAAGTCCAAGTGTGGTCACCGGTGATCTACTTCTGCGACGTTGCCGCGCTGAGGAATTCAAACATGTCCTTTGGCTTTGGTCTTTGCGCTCCACTCGGACGCGGCAGCGGACCTATGTCACTGACTTGATAGTACCCTGGTAAAATAGGACTGAAGAAAGACTGCAGGCTTGCAATGATGTGAGTAGATGTAATTAGCATGCTTGTCCAACACGATCAATACGTGAGGCTTTCTCAGCGGTCTAACACTGAGGTTTGGTGGGTGGCATTTCTCTTCACCCTCTTTCTTGGTGCTCTGAAAGGCCTGAATCTGGCCACTGTGGATTCTAAACAAGCCTTTGAACCGCAGAAAAGTCATGTCTATCATCCCAAATGCAAGAGTTATACAGTTTCAGACTGCAAGATCTCCCATTGCATTTGAAAGCGCGAATGGCTTGCGCAGCCTTCGTTCACAATGGCCCTTGACTTGTTCCTTGATTGGTGCATTCGGTGCGTCCTGCAATAATTCAAGTTCTGTGCTGTGAGGCATTTTAGGCGCTGTGGTGGTCTCTTTGGTGCTCATTGTGTACCAAGTAGCAGACCCTCCAATCACTACTCTTGGCTGCTGGCCTTGGAAATGTTGATGTCAGACTATGTCAGCCTCAGAGATTCACATAATATGTATGTATGTATATATTATATGATACTTACGTATATTATATTATATTATATTATATTAAAATATTATATTATATTATATTGTATTATATTATATTATGGCATATTATATGTATATTGATAATATACATCTCCCTCCCTCTCTCTCTCTCTCTCTTTCACCATTCTTGGTCACCAGCCGTACTACACTCCGATACGACGATCCTCAAGCTTTTGATGGACTTGAGCACATTTCTCTCACCCGTTGGCGTGCAACAGTTTTTGTGTGCAGTATCATGAAGTCTAAGGTTACTGCCAATGCAGAAATCGTTGGATGAACGTGAAGGCAGCTGTTTGATATTATTTGATCAGCTAGCCCGCTGAGCACCGCCAGATGTGATGCCACACTATGCCACTCTGCAAAGTGTCAGGAGCGTCGAGATACGGAGCAGCGTCCTGGAATCCTCGCTGTGCGCCCTGAAGGCCCCTTGTTCTATGCCAACATCGAGCGCCTTGAGGCACAACAAAAGTATTTATGCGTTGCTGAGCCAATGTGAGCCAATGTGAGTCATGTCGGAACGTGCAAATATGATAAAATATATGAAGATCAGATTTCAAGTTTTTTTGCGATGTCCTGCTAGTTCGTCATAATTCTTCGGAAAGAAGCGCCAGGCAACTGAGTTGCAACAAGAATTATGCGGACATTCAGTTTGATTCTTTCCCGGCAGGAGTGGCTAGATGAAATGGAGATTGCGGCCAGCGCAGTTGCTTGGTTCCTTTGGTCATGCTGAAGAGGAGTCCAACTTGTTGGCCACTGCATCCACTGCACCACTGCGAATTGAAAAGTGCATGTGCCAACCTGCATACATATAATTCACCACAACAACCACCGTCATCAGGTTGGTTTGGAAATCAGCACGTTTTTTTCTCCTTCAGAAGTGCGCATACTATTAGAACATATCATGATGAAAGCGTCATTTCCTTCGAATGGCGGAACTGACGTGCACATCCAAGAAACAAGCGGGTTCAATCTTGGGGAATAAATGATAATTAGAACGGGGTAAGCTTTGACACATCACCGCACAACTCAGGCTGATGAACCTCTAATGGCCATCATCCTTTCATTTGCTGCAGTGTCCTTCCTAGACACTTCGGCACTGGAAGCTTTGCAGACCATGACGCCTGGCGATCTTTTTTGGCTGGCTTTTGCTGCTATGACAATTTATGACAACACAGAATTTGTAGGATGCCACAGTGAACATTGAGGCAACATTTAGATAAATTTAGGATATTTAGGCATCATGGCCAGGTTTGTTGCATTCACAGCTTGCACTGAAGGATAGATGCCTACTCCAAGCGAAATATTGGGCTTCTAGTGGCTCACGCTTCTGGGCAGCCGTGTCAGATTCTGAAGCATGCTCTAGGCTTGGACGGAGCAACACTGGAGTGATGTCTGAAGGGACATTCTTTGTGACAGTCTGTGAGTTGGCACCAAGTCGGTTGCGAATTCCTCTGACCAGGGTGAAACAATGAGGTGACCAACACCATCCAACACCCACGTGTGCACACGTTATAAAATGAGTTCGCTTTCGACACACTGGCAAACATATCATCATTGAGACATGGTCTCCAAATTTGTATTGTACGTCATTGAGAGTGGTCAATGCTTGTTGGTTAATCGTGTTGTTCGCGGACTCTTGTTGGCCTGGAAGGCGAATATTTTCCGGAGCATTGCCTGACCACACCTTGGTCGGTGGAGGATTGCCATATCAGCCTTTGTCAAGCGGATCATTCTTATCAGAGTGCCCCCAAAGATACATCAAACATACCGAAGGGTTTCACTTCTTGGCAGGTGAGGGCGGCAATCAGCAACAAAATGCAGTCTTGAAGATTCACTTTCAATGTCCTGTTTGCATTTGACTGCTGCGCATTGAAAAATGATAAAAAAAAGAGCATGTTCCGACGAGCAGGAATGCGTGCAGCATCTCCTAACTCAACAGAAAGAGGTGCAAGCTTGGGCCGACTGTTTGCTGCGCATTATGATCAGTCGAAACAACAAAGTTTTCTTGGACTGAGGTAAGGATTGGAACAGCCAGGAGTGCACATCACATGACAATTGGACTGCTGTCAGGTGGCTGCAGAAAAAGACATGGCAGTGCATTGGTCACCGATGATCCAGGCTACTGTATCGCATGAGCATGCATGAGCTGGTCAGTGGACTTTTCTGTTTATGTTCAGATGTTGGAGTTGATTGCTCATTGCCCAGGGGCAAAATGCCCTGGAAAAGCATGTTATTTGTTCATGATTTTTAACTTGGAATGACATGAAACCGGTCTTTCAATGTGACTTGCGCCTAACTATATACGCCAGAAGTCATGGCCTTAAGAGAAAGCCGAGAAGCGATTTGCTAGTGTAATGCTTTCGAGAATTCCAATGGTGTTCATGACATTTCATGACCCATGTGCACAATTTCGCAGGGTCGGAGAGTGCAATCCCTTCCCATCATGCCAGCGGAGTCAGATTCCGAGGATGAAGGCCGTGTGGTATTCAACGGCGCTGTTTTCCTCATAGCGGGAAAATGGTGCAGCATGTTTCATGATGTTCCATCTGAGCGCCTCGGGTCAACACTAGTGAATGCATGGTAATTATACATGTCGCATATGGTGATGGTCATGTCTTGTGGGGCAGCATTCGTCCCCGTGAATCTTTTTGGACCTGTCATGTACCTAGGGTACTCTTGCCATCCCGCCTTGGCCAGCTTTACCTTCACCGCAATCGAGCGAGAGTTGGCAAATCCGACCACTGCAGAGTTCAGCACAATGGACCACAGGTGACGCTCTCAGAGATGCTGAGATGGGGTGAGAAATGGTGGGAGGAACTGTCAGGCTCCTAGCCTATCATGATTGGCACGATTGGCACGATTGGCACGTTCTTTTTGATTTCTGTTGTTTTTTTGCTAATTATATACTGTTTTTTGTTTGCATTGGCGCCTTCCTTGGACCTTTGCAAGACGAACTAAAATATGTGTTGGTTCTTTGGTCGAAGATGTTTTTATCGACTGCAGGTGCTGATGCCGTCGCCATTGTGAGTGCATCCGCTGGAAGCTTGTTACTTCATGATGCTCCGCACCCTGCGAAAAAAGACGAACATCACGCCTCACATATTGAAGCTGGCCGGTCACATATACGAGTACTGAGTATGTTGATCTTGGCTGGATTTTTGATTTCAGGTCTGAAGCCTCTTGCACAAACTGCACAAACTGGTTCTTATAGATGTGTCAAGAAGGCATCAAGGACATGAGCATAATTGATTCTTTGTGTGGACGTGTGTGGACCATTTGTGCGGCATTTTGCAACTACTTTACTACTGTTTTGATAGTTCTGAATAGCCTTTCAATAAGTGGGATTCTTCCAATCACATCTATTCACAAAAACTGATGTGTTTTGGCATCGTTGCAGTCTGCACATTTCGTTTGGAGCTGTCAGAAGCTTCAGACCGCCAGGGTCTGACAGGATGTTGACGGTGTTCAAATTGACCCCTGAAATTTGGGCTCAAGGAAGTGGTGGAGGCTTGGCACAAGTGTCACTAGCCCATCATGCCTCGCTCTGGGCATGGTGTGGCATCAGAGGAGGGCGATGCAGGGCGTTTGCTGGGTGTATCCGGATAGATGTTTAGGAAGAGGGCCCAGTGCTAAACCTGCCAGAGTGGAGGTATTGGTGGACCACCACTCTTCATGTTCCAGCAGCACTCTGGCAGGGAAAGTTTCCCTTTACCCTGACATTCCGTGACATTCAACGGCTGTTAAATTTAATCAATAATTAACGAGCTAGGGTCAAAGGACGTTGGGTGTGTACAGTATTTCCCTTCAAATAGACCCTCCATTGGCAGCTGGCCATACCACCAAAGACAATGGATAAACCATAAACAAATTGTAGAACATCATTTAGCGTAGAAAGGAAAATTCTCGGATTTTGTGGCGTGAATAAACTGTAGAACGGGCGTTGTTTTCCATTAGGTAGGGAAGAGAAGAACATATTATGTGCTTTGGACTTGTATAATTATTGTGTTTATATTCATATATCTTTATATAACTTTAACATCCTTTAAGAGAGAAATGATCTTGAAAACGCAGATTGGGCATAGTGACTGTAAAATATGTAAAATACTGAAATTAAATGAATGAGTACAAGCACACTGTTCGATTCCATTCCACTTCTTCGCCAGCCCTGGCTTGTGTGGCTCCGCAGTATTTAGCTCAAGCTGCCGGCCTGTGGAGCAGTGCTGCAGCGTCTACTGGACTCAAGATGAAGCCATCACCAGCTTCCAGCTTGGTGCAGGCATATGGGCCCAGCAAGAGTGGAACCTACTCAGTTGAAAAGCAAGCTTTATTTATTTGTTCATAGTATGTGTATATATATATATATGTCACTCGCATTGCCAACATAGGTGGTCTCCCTTATATAATTTTGAGAGGATGTGTTCGCGTGTCTTGGCTTTGGGGGCTGATGTTCTATGATGTTCCGTTCGGGGCTTGCTGCCTGATGCGTGCTGATACCTGAAGATTTCTCAACCTAAGGACAAGATTTCGCGAAGAGCTTCCAATTTTTCCTAGCCCAAGTTGAATCTTCTCCTGAAACTCGGTCAAGACAAATCGGTTGTTTATAATAGTAAGTCTTTGGCATCCATTTCTCTACTACGGAATGGCGGGGCTTAACTGCCAGTCAGGCTATTTGTAAGGAATCTTAGTGTTGGAGCTCTCTATTTTGTAGCAAGGTTTTTTTGAGTCCGATCATGGACAGGCTGGGGTCTAGCCGGTCTAGCACTGCATTTTGTAGCGACCACGTTGTCGACTTGGATCGTAAACTAGTCATGTATTTTCATATATTAGACCCTGTTCAGGATCCGCCGCTTTTTGTAGTGAGTGAGGGCCTATCTTAGAGATGGTACATTTTGGAGTGATTTCACTTTTGGCTTTGTCCTACCTCTTCGTAGTGTCTGGGGGTCAGGCAAGGCAAATTAATATGACAAAAATCTGACACAACACCATCCCCAGAATGCACATCCCAATTCTTTGGCCTCAAATGATCAGGTACATTGGACCATATTGGACCATGGTTTGCCTCTTTCGTTTTGTCCTCCCGTCTTTTATTACTATCATGAATCATTCTTGTTATTGTTGTTGTTTTTGTTGTTGTTTTCCTGCCTTCTTGAGTCTTCTTGGGTTTTTCACTTGCTTCCACCAGCAACTTTGCTCAGGAAAAGTTTGAGCAAACTGTGGAGAAACGCAGGGAGATGTTCGATAAGAAACTCGACATAGTCGATAAGATTCTTGCACATGTAAAAAGTACTGGGAAAGCGATGGAGCAAACGCGGGATGCACAGGAGGCGCAGGATGCAGATCATCCAGATCATACAGTGGATGCAGCAATGCCTAAGTCGAAGGCATGCCCACTGTTTGGCCTCAGGATCTGTGAAGTCAAGGTGGTCAACCTATGAAAATCTATGAAACGACAAGCATGCAACACTGCAAGCCATGGTCGTTTGAGGAAACGACAGGCCATCCCAATGGATATCGATCACTTCCCTACGATCACTTCCGAATGGATGTCCATAGGGTGCCTCAGATGATCGATGGCTTTGCAGATTGCAAAATGTTTGCACAGCAATGCGCAGCATGTTGATAGACGATGATATGATATGATATGATATTATATGTTTGGCCGTGTTTTAGCTGATTCACTTGCACCGGTTTGCGCACATGGTCCATGCTGCTTTATCCCACTTGTTCTAGCTTGCTTAGGTGCTGCCGTGACGGTGTTGTTCGCTTGTGCTCAAGCTCAAATGATTTTGGCTTTTGACAATGAGACTTGCAGAGGAGTGATTGCTAAAAACTTATCTTGGAGACTTTGTTTCATATATATATAATTATATAAAGCAGTTTGAAGCTGTCAGGCATGGTAAAAGTATGTAATGTATGATGTATGTAGTAAAAATATCCAATCGGTTCGGAATAGGTTCTTTTCAAAACCACTGCATGTCTCGTGAAGAAGCATGTCTCACAGCTCGATGGAGTTCTGCAGACAAAGTGGCTTGCCATGTCACTCTCACCGACGAAGTTAAGAAATGGGCTTCGGATGGATCCCGAACCCTTCCGCAGAAACTGTTGCAGTTGCGTTATCAGGTGCCTGTTTACTATTTTTTACTTTCAGCTGCGGCTAGGGTGTTTTGGGTTTTTTTTGAGTGTGACCTGCTGACATGGTGTATTCATTCGCTGTGAATCCAAAGTGAAAATGATGTCAGCTCTGGGCATTCCGTACCTGAAATTTGGCTACCGGGATCTACCTGGGTGCTATTTCAAAACATTTCTGGAAAGGACAGACCCTGGGGTATTTCCAGCAGACCTTGGGGTGCCCATAAGAAACCACCCACACTCATCATCACTTCATTGAATGTGTGTGCAGATTTACCCCAACATAATAGCCTTGTTGGTGTTTGGATGTGTTTGGTTTGCGTCACGGTTTGTCACGGTTCGTCACAGTTTGTTCTAGCTCAAACCCCTCACTAATTCTCTACAGTTGTTCCCGGCAGCCATCGTCTTCGACAGCAGTGGTTCCAACAAACACTGGTGCATCAAAATCCCTTTTTCCAACAAAGTCAATTCTGACATCGTACTCAAAATTCAAGAACGTTTAGAAATGTGGCCAAAATTTGGATGAAAACTATTGTGGACCTATTTCAAGGCAAGGATTCGCAGGGATTGCTTGATCATGCTTGATCATGCTTGATCATTGATTCTCGGGTTTTCATGATGGGTTGGGTCCATGCTGATTCCTCAAAATAGTGGAAGCATACAGCATATATCAGCATACCACATACTTATGGATCCAG